CCAGCATCAATCACCACATCACCTGCCAGACTCTGTTTTAGGTCTTATTATGTAGAGCTTTAACTGTTAGAAGTTGTAGAAGATTAAAAAAAATAAAGCTCTTTGGCTAGCCCCATAGCCTAGTGGTTAAGGGAGCTGGACCCCACATGGCTAAACATTGGTTCAAATCCCAGCCCCAGAACCTTGAAAACCACATTGGGCATGTGTGTATGCATGTTCAGAATCCCGACAGGATGGAGAAGCAGAGGATTGTGGTGTGACCATACCCCACTGGGGGGTGCTTTCTCTCTTTCTTGCCATCTCTCTCTGGGGAGAGTATATACTCTGACAACTTAGAAACAGTAAAGCATGGAGCTACTGATCTCGCTGGTGAGGTAAGAATAAGCATATTAGAAGTTCAGAACTCTATAATTATGTAAGTGCTGATTGAGAGATTAGCATTGTTAGTACCATAAAAATTTGGAGGACAAAGAGACTATTGAGAACTACAACTATCAGACGAGGTGGCCGGGGAATTTTCCTCAGCATGTTGTGCACATCATTCTCCTATTTAAAATCTTTCACTTCTCCTTTCCTGTATGGAATTTGGGCCCCTTCACTTGTTATACAAGGTCATGATTTGGCCCGTGCCAGCCTATGCAGTCTCATCACTACCTAATAACCTTCTGTCTCTCAGCCCTCCCTAGTTCTGTGCAGGCCTCTGAACATAAGCTCTTCATTCGCTCCATTGCAGTGGGTGTGACTTCATGTAGCAACTCTGTCCTTTCCCTTCTCCTCCTGGCTCACTTCTCATCTTTTCAGGTTTGAATTACTCCTCTAGGAAATCGTCACTAATTTTCCATGTTTCTCAGGTAGGGGTAACCACTTTTCTATGTTCTTGAGCATTTTGTGATACCCGGTTATAGCACATTGAAGTTATTTCTCTTCTTCTCTCTTTTTTTTTTTTTTTTTTTAAGTTTTCTATAGGGCATGTGCACTCAGCAGCGAGAGAGAGAAAGAGGAATCACCCTGCAGGGGTGATGGCCATTCTGAAGTCTCTTCTCCATTCTCCTCTTGGGATTTTTGGACATGCCATGTACGTGTGCCCAGCACGCTTTTCAAATCACTGAGTCCAAGACTTGAACTGCTTGGTTGCCCCTGTGGGACCCAGCCACCTTAACCTCTATACCACCTGCTGGTCCACAGTTATTTCTCTTCTTGGTATACCACCAGCTCTTTTAAAGTTAGGGACTGTGAATTTGATATTTTTATTGCCAGAGTCAGAAGGCCTTAGCAGATAGGTTCTTCTTCTTCTTCTTCTTCAATTAATTAATTAATTAATTAATTAGATTGTTTGCCACTGGGTGTGTGCACTTGCCAGACAGAGAGGGAAAGTGAGAAAGTATATTCTAGGGAACACAACCACACCACAGTTCCTTCTCCTCCGTTCTCGGGATTTTGGCCACGCACGCACATGTGCCTAGTGTGTTTTTCAGGCTTCTGGGACTTGAACTATGGAGTTGGCTATGTGGGATCCAGCTGCCTTAACCACCATACCACCTAGAGGCCCTCTTTTTAAAAAATTTTGCCAGAGAGCATGTGCACTCACTGGAGAGAGTGAGAGAGAGAAGAAGAAGAAGGCCCCCTCCACCTCCCTTGGAGAATGATCACACTGCAATCTATTTTCTATCTCTCCCTCTTTTTGGGTTTTGGGGCATGCACATATATGTATGTGGCATTTCTAAAGTCGCTGGATCTGGGACTAGAACCACATGGTCGGTCATGTGGGATCCAGCTGCCTTAGCTGCCTTCCTCAGGTTTTTAGTAAATATTAAAAAATAAATACATAAATGGGGCCAATCCTGTTGCACAGTGGTTAAGTGCTGTGCCTTGGGAGCCAGATCCCACATGGCTGACTGCAGTTTGAAACCTGTCCCTGGTGACTTTGAAAACATGATGGGTTCAAGGGCATGCTTGCCCAAATCCTGGTGGAAGGGAAACGGAGGAGAAGGGCGTGGCCAGCTCATGCCCCGTTAGAGGGCGCTTTCTTTGTCCTCCTCTCCTTTACTTTTCTCTCTGGTGAATGCATCACCCTCTGGCAATTAATAAAGAATGAACAGTTGGATTTTAAAGAATAAATAGCATTTGGAGAGATGGAGTGGAGGAAGAGTATAAATATTGGGTCATTGGAAAAGTCATGATGTATTTTTGTTTTTCCAGACAAAAACGCATTATGACTTTTCGGAGGACCCAATAGCATGCCATGACGGGAAAATATTGGGTCCTCCGAAAAGTCATGATGAGTAGAAAATGTATGTCATGACTTCTCCGACAGTCTAATTAATAGTAGAATAAAGTGTCAGCAGGTGGTGTAGCGATTATGTTGCTGGACTCCCTCATGGCTGACCGTGGTTAGAGTCCCAGATCCAGTGGCTTGAAACTCACACTGGGCGCACGTGCGTGTGTGTATGTGTATGTGTGTGTGTATGCGCGCGCGTGCGTAATCCCGAAAGGAGAAGGGAGGAGAAGGGATTACAGCGGGGCCATCCCCCTGGGGGTGATTTCTCACTTTCCCTCTCACTATCTCTGTCTCTCCAGCCAGTGCACATGCCCTAGGCAAAAACCTCTTTAAAAAAAAGTCAGTGATTTAGACACGACTTCGGTTATAAGCCAATCCTGATTCAGTTCGCGGATGACAGGCTTGGAAAGGATGCCGGCGATGTTGGATGCCTGAGTCAGCTTCAGAAATATCAAAATATGTTGGAGCAACAATCGTGAAATCTCACAGGAATCCTGGCCTCAAATACTGCCATGACTCTATCAAGTGAAAGATAGATTAGACTGAAAAAAAAAAAAGAATCCTAACACTCCCAAATGAAAGCCAGTAGAATTTATAGAGGAAGATTATGACACTTTCTAAAGCTATTACTCTGTCGCCTTATATAGCAGCAAATTCCCTGTTATCTTAAGTATCGAGAATATTGTAGATGTATCTGAGATTTGGACAGACCTTACAAGTCTGAGCCTGGGATTCTTTGTTGTTGAGGGGTTCGTATATCAGTAGGGACGTAGACCAGATCATTTCTGAATTCCACTGCCCAGTTCTGTGCTCTGTAATGGGAAGAGACTTCTCCTTCCCAAGCAAGGAGGGATTTAAGGCTGAAAAGAAAGGTGTGAAGGTAAAGCCAGAGGCACAGATGAGGGAGTTCTTCGTGAATGACCACAAACTCAGGAAGTGGGTGGAGGAGTGCACTTGGGGGTGGGGGGGAGTGAGCACTGGCCCTGCTGGAAGTGGTACCATGTCACCTTTATTACGGGATCAGTAGGAAGGGAGTGACGGGGTGTAGGAGATAACGTAGCGGAAGTCTGCTAGATTCACTAGTGAACAAGATTTATGTATTAGGAGGTTGGGAAAGTCATGATGTGTTTTTCTATGCAAAAATACGCCATGACTTCCCCGATGACCCAGTATTCTGCAGTTTTCCTCAGGAGTGTGCTGTAAGTTGGAAAAGAAGTGGAAGGGTCTAGCAGTGGTGATCACGCAGGCTTGGACATTGTCATGAAATAGTCACTGAAAGTTCGCAGGTGACGGGGCCAGCAGGTGGCGTGCTGGTTAAGGTGCTGGCCTCCCACATGGCCAACCATAGTCCCAGTCCTGGACCAGCGTCCCTTCTGTTGGTGACTTGCTTTCTCACTTTCTCTCTCTCTGGTGATGACGCGTGCTCTATAGCAAACCTGATAATGATAATGATAATAAGTAAAATTTAGATGACGAAAGAAAGGTGAGAGTCCCTGGGGTGTTGTATGAACAGATTCGAATTGCTTAATCATGTGGTCTAGGGTAGACTGCGATAGTTTTGATGTTCTTAATGAACAGGGTACGTTAAGAATGGAATGATAGGGGCTAGTAGGTGGCGTTATGGTTAAGGGCATTGGACTCCCACATGGCTGACTGTGGTTTAAGTCCTAAGCCTGGAGGCTTGCTTTCTCACTTTCTCTCTTTTTCTCTCTCACTCTGTCCCTCTCTGGTCAAATTAAAATAAATAAATAAATAAAGCTTAAAAAGAAAAAGAATGGAATGGCAGGAGGTTGAGATTGATCGGGGTATGAGAGAGTGGCAAAGGTGACTCCTAGACGGGTATGTTTAGAGCCGGAACAAGGATGTGGCAGCCGCGTAGCCGGATATGAATTGGACATGAAGGTCAGTGGAGCCAAGTAGGCGTGCCAGCCTGGATGTTGGTGTGTATATGGAGGCCATAGACATGAACCAGGTCACGGGGAAGGTTAGGTGGGTTTGCCATGTGGAAGCGGGCAGGCGACAGTGAGGATGATTTAGTACAGGGCATGGCGTGGTCCTCAAATCGAAAAGGAGTGGGGTGAGACTCAGTGGTCTGGCGGTTGCTCTAGGGAACTGGCTGGCCTGGGAGAAGGTGAGCCCTCTGCGGGGTGGGACCTCTGTGAAGCAGTCCTTGACAATCATGTTTCTGTTAGGGATGAACAAAACTGAGAAAGAAGGGGAGTTTGCTTCTGTAAAATTCGGGAGGAGAGGAAGAGGGCGGAGACGGTGGTGGAGGTGAACTCAGCTGGGCTGTTTGGTAGTGGCTGGTGAAGGGAAGGCAGGAAGTGGTGCGTGGGAGAGGGTGGGAGCAGAGCTTTGCAGGCAGACTGGTGTGCAGTGGCATCCAGCTGCTGCTGTGAGCGTCCCAAATGCTAATGGCCCTTCTGTCCCTGGCGTTCACAGCTTTGGCTTTTAGGAGCTTGTGAGAGATGCAGGGGCCTCTCTTAGCAAGGGTCTTGCTAAAGTGACTTCACATGAAATGATTTTTGAGGCACATGATTCTGTCTGATCTGTAAAGTGGCCAACATGGTCAGAACCAAAGAGGAAGTTTAGTTAGGACAAACCTCCAAACAGGAAGCCCTGTCCCGCAGACCTGTGGGTAAACCCAACCTCTGTAAGTGGTCCTGCAGGGGAACTCGTCCACCGCACAGCACTAAGCCAGTGACTTGTGTTTCCTTTGCAGATGAGCGGGACCGGGTTCAGAAGAAAACGTTCACCAAGTGGGTCAACAAGCACCTGATGAAGGTAGGCCCACCCACAAATGCTGCCATAGCGCCTACTGCTCGGGGCCTGGGCCTGTCACTCCCCTCTCAGGGAGTCGAGGCAGCTTGCCATGTGCGCACCTCTGAGAAGGTCTACAAGTGACTTTTCATTCTCTTTTTAAACGAACATGGTCACATCAGTTTGGCAACTTCTGCAGATCCGTTTCTGGATGAGGACTGCATGTGCCGCTACTTCAGAAGGCTGAGGTCGAGGGGACCGTGGGGCGGTCTCTGGGAGTTAAAGAACACCTTTCTCCTGGCTTTATAAGTTATTTTATAAGTCCCTTTGTTTCTATTTTTTAATCTCATTACTATGAAAGGATGGGACAGGGAGTTTTGTTCTCTCTTTCTCTTGGAACACATAAACTTTTTAGTTTTTTTTCTATAGGGTATGCGCACTTTCCAGAGAGAAACAAAGAGAGGGAAAGTGAGAAATCACTCCCCGGGGGGATGGCCACACCACAATTTCTTCTCCTCCATGTACATGTACCTGGCGTGATTTTCAACTGCCAGGTTCAAGACTTGAACCGTGGTTGGCCATGTAGGAACCCAGTGCCTTAACCACCATTCCACCTGCTGGCCCAGAGTGTACAAATCTTAAACATTCAGTAACTTAAGTGTTCAATTTGATTAATTTTACCACCATGCAGTTTTTTTTACTTTATTTTTTTTAAATTTATTTAAGTTTTGCTATAGAGCATGTGAGCTCGCCAGAGAGAGACAGAGAAGGAGTGAGAAGCAGTGAGAAATCACTGCCCAGGATCATGATCATCCCACAGTCCCTTCTCCTCCGTGATTTTCAAGCCCTGGGGGAACAGGACTCGAACTGCACTGCTGGCTAGGTGGGATCCACCTGGCTGGGCAGCCACCATGCAACCAAAGGTGTAGAACATTTCCAGAACGGCTAGGGTTGGGAGAAGACTTGTACTATTTTTAGATAAGAGAGAAACCAAGGCAGAGGCATGTAAAGACCCACTTGGGGATAAGTAGTGTGACCGTTGTGGCAGTGAGGATCTGAAAACAAAGTCTTTAAATGATAATGATTACTGCTCTTCTGGGAAAATCACGAGTGATCTCTCAACCGCCATACCCTGTGGCCTTGAATCATCTCTTATTTGATGTCTATGTAGCGTTTGATACCGTCAGCTACTCCTTGAAACCCTTTCTCACTGACCTCTAGGACAAGCTTTTCCCCGAATTACTTTCCTCTGTGAATGCCGTTTTCTGCCCCTCCACTGGCTTTTCTTCCTTCGTTTCACTCTTCCATGTTGATGTCCCCCAGGGTCCTAACCTTGGCGCCATCTCGTTTTGTTCTCCGTGTCCTCAAACGCTCTCGTTTGTTTTGCTGCCAGGGATTGTTGAGGTGCAAACCGCTTGATACCACAGACCCCATGTCTAGATGCAGCTAGGCTTCAGGACAATGAAGCAGTTACCAGGCAACTACTCTGTCTTTCTCTTTTTGTGAGACCCCGTGTTCCTTCAGTTTTCTTTCTTCCTTTGTGTCTCTTACATGCCTTTATATTCATTTCTCCCATTGCTATGTGCGAGCTGTTGTGGCCATCCCTCAAATGGTGGTGCCAACGCCCGAGGCTCCGTGATTCTGAAGGTACAAGCACAGACAATCTAATTGGCTGTGGTTCTTTTTCCCTCTGTGGTTCAGTTGCCCATCTGTGGTTCTGTAAACTGTGGCCACCCAAGTCCAGCATGTAGGGCCACTTTAGTGGATGCTGCAGGTGAAGGCAGCTTTCTTTCTTCTTCCGTCTGTCTTCTCCTCCCCTTCCCTCCCTCCTTCGTTTCCTTTCACATATGCTCACCAGAGATAGAGAGGGAGAGGAGAAAGCATCCCCCAACAAGGGAAGGTCATGCCACAATCCTCTCTCCTCCATCTCCCTCTCCTTTCTGGACTCAGGCATGCGCACACACAGGCCTGGTGTTTCTCAGGCCACCGGTCCAGGACTCGGGTCAGGTGGTCGGCCATGTAGGATCAAGCTGCCTTAACCACCAGGCCATGGAGCCGGCCTGAGGGCGGTTTTAAGCTACACCATCTGGGGAAGGAGGCAGTGCTAGACCCTTTTTCTGCTTTCTTGCCTGAACCAAAGACCTGTGTTTTCGCAGTGTACATTGCACGTTCGTCTGGACGTCACCCGGCGTAGCCTGTGTAGCCCACCCCAACTTGCAAGTGTTGTCCCTCATTTACCTGGTTGTCCAGGTGAGGGATCTAGAGTCATATTTGATTCAGACGTCCGTAAACCTCCCTTCTACCAACCTCAGTCGGCACTTCTGACCTGGGAATACTGCTTCTGTATAACTTCTCCTTGACAGCCCCATTGCCTCTGCCCTGTCCAGGGCCGCCGCCTCTAGGGCCTTGACCTCTGTGACCATTTCCTACAAGAACAATGATACTGATAACAGTAATAAAAGTTTATTAAGGACTCCTGTAAATCTGACATTCCATACTCAGTTGTTTACAAAGATGACCTCATTTAAGACTCTAGTGACCTTCTATCAATGTTACTATCCCTCATTTATGAAAGAGGAAAATAAGTACTTTGGTGAAGGTCACACTGCTAGAAAGAAGTGGAACCGAAGTGTTACAATTCAAGACCCTTAAGTCGAGAACCTGTGCTCCCCACCTGTGCTGGCCGTGGCTGCTGCGTTCTGTGTTAGGCTGCTAGTGCCAGCTTCTTCTCACACCACAGACTCCATGGAACTGTGTGCCCTGCTGTTCCGTGACCATGTCCTCGCTCATGCCACTTCTCTGCTTGGAATACCTCCCCCGAGCGTGTTATGCCTGGAGAGCACCAACCTAATACCTCCCCAGTAAATATTTTCCTCACTCTCCCACGTAGAATGGACTACCCAATTAGTGTGCAAGGGCACTTCAAAAAGTTTGTGGAGGGACCAGCAGATGGTGTAATGTTTACGTCAGTGAACTCCCACGTAGTCACTGTGGTTTGAGTCCCAGACCAGCAGCTTAAAACTCAGGCCAGGCTCCTGTGCATGCATGCCAAAATCACAAGAGGAGAATGGAGAAGGGATTATGGTGTGGCCATCGCCCAGGGGGTGATTTCTTGCTTTCTGTCTCTCTGTCTCTCTCTGCTGAGTGTATACACCCTATACCAAAAATCTCTCTTAAAAAAAAAAAACAAAAAACAAAAAACAGGGAACCAGCAGTTAGCGTAATGGCTGTGTCGCTGGACTCCCACCTAGTTAACCGCAGTTCACATCCCGGACCTGGTAGCTTAAAACTCACGCCGGGTGCATGTGCATGCATGTCCAAGATCCCAAGAGGAGAATGGAGGAGAAGGGATTGCAGCGTGACCATCCCCCTGGGGGGTGATTTCTTGCTTTCTGTCTCTCTGTCTCTCTCTGTCTGGCGAGCACATGTGCCCTACAGCAAAAACCTCTCATAAACAAAACATGCCAGGCACATTGCATACATGCCCACAATCCTAAGAGGAGAGTGAAAGAGAGGGGATTGTGGCATGGCCATCCCCACTGGGGGGTGATTTCTAACTTTCTGTCTCTTTCTCTCTCTCTCTCACTCCATTGAGTGCATGAGCCCTATAGCCCTCCCCCCACCATTAGAAAACCTAATTAAAAAAAAAGTCTGTGGAAAAAATGGAGTTAAAGCATGAATTTATTTTGTTAGTCCCTCCCCTCAGAAAAAATCAGAACACATGCCAAGTATTTTCGTAACTCGCATTTTCCACACAGTTTGGAAGCCCTTCTACTACGTATGTATTTCTGTTGCAGCGTCTGTAACATCTGTAGACTGGGTTGTTGGAAACATCCTGACGACCCAGTGCGCTCTGTGTCCTTCAGTGACTCCCAGCTGCCATTAGCTTGATGACAACTGGGGCGGTTTTAAGCTACACCATCTGGGGAAGGAGGCAGTGCTAGACCCTTTTTCTGCTTTCTTGCCTGAACCAAAGACCTGTGTTTTCGCAGTGTACATTGCACGTTCGTCTGGACGTCACCCGGCGTAGCCTGTGTAGCCCACCCCAACTTGCAAGTGTTGTCCCTCATTTACCTGGTTGTCCAGGTGAGGGATCTAGAGTCATATTTGATTCAGACGTCCGTAAACCTCCCTTCTACCAACCTCAGTCGGCACTTCTGACCTGGGAATACTGCTTCTGTATAACTTCTCCTTGACAGCCCCATTGCCTCTGCCCTGTCCAGGGCCGCCGCCTCTAGGGCCTTGACCTCTGTGACCATTTCCTACAAGAACAATGATACTGATAACAGTAATAAAAGTTTATTAAGGACTCCTGTAAATCTGACATTCCATACTCAGTTGTTTACAAAGATGACCTCATTTAAGACTCTAGTGACCTTCTATCAATGTTACTATCCCTCATTTATGAAAGAGGAAAATAAGTACTTTGGTGAAGGTCACACTGCTAGAAAGAAGTGGAACCGAAGTGTTACAATTCAAGACCCTTAAGTCGAGAACCTGTGCTCCCCACCTGTGCTGGCCGTGGCTGCTGCGTTCTGTGTTAGGCTGCTAGTGCCAGCTTCTTCTCACACCACAGACTCCATGGAACTGTGTGCCCTGCTGTTCCGTGACCATGTCCTCGCTCATGCCACTTCTCTGCTTGGAATACCTCCCCCGAGCGTGTTATGCCTGGAGAGCACCAACCTAATACCTCCCCAGTAAATATTTTCCTCACTCTCCCACGTAGAATGGACTACCCAATTAGTGTGCAAGGGCACTTCAAAAAGTTTGTGGAGGGACCAGCAGATGGTGTAATGTTTACGTCAGTGAACTCCCACGTAGTCACTGTGGTTTGAGTCCCAGACCAGCAGCTTAAAACTCAGGCCAGGCTCCTGTGCATGCATGCCAAAATCACAAGAGGAGAATGGAGAAGGGATTATGGTGTGGCCATCGCCCAGGGGGTGATTTCTTGCTTTCTGTCTCTCTGTCTCTCTCTGCTGAGTGTATACACCCTATACCAAAAATCTCTCTTAAAAAAAAAAAAC